ACTTGGAACTTGATGTCGCTCCAAAGCTGGCGTCCCGGACTTCGCCGAATCCCCGGCCTCGAGGCCCTAAGCACCCTGGCCGCCATAACATTTCCAATTGCGAGTTCCCCAGCAGCTCGTTTTCAAGTCCTTCGCGTTCCCAGCTCTCCCAGACCAGCGTCTAAGCCTCCCGACCCAGCACTGGCGGACCGGCCAGACACTAAGGATCCCCGCCCTGCTTCTCTTATATACCATCCCGCATGGCCCCGCCCACATTTCGTCAAAGGGGGGGGAAAAACCTGTGTGCCGCGGCCCGGCATGATTGGCTGCTGGGAAGAGGCACCGCCCACCAATTGTCAGAGGGCGTAGACAAATAGAATGGGTGGGTCTTGTGCTACTAAGAGCCTTTCTGTGGACACCCGAAGGGCTTGCACTTCCAGTAAGTCGTCATCTCAGGATTTTAGTGATCCCAAGGCTGTAAAATTTGGCTCTTCCCTCTGTGGGCCAGGGGAGTGGAAAGTGATTTTTCTCTTAAGAGATGGAATATTGAGAGCTCAGATGATACAGCATTATTATTAGATCTGGCTACAACCATGGGGTAACATGTAAAGTCCAGGAAAAATAAATGTTATGGAGATAAATGTTATGTGGTCTGTTCTCCACACAGACCCCCTAGTTATGAGCGTTTGTGATGGGGAGATTAGGAACTTTATATGTGAAAAAGAACTGGCAGTTTCAGTGGGCTGTAAACCATAGCCAAACAGCAGCAGAGCTACAAATAGCTCAAGTTCAATCTTAGCCTTTGTAATGGGATACTAAAATAGAACTCAGGTCCTCACATTGCCCTGAAGTCACTGAGGAAGAGAAATATTTACAGAGGGCTGGGGATGTGGCTCAAGCGGTAGCGCGCTCGCCTGGCATGCGTGTGGCCCAGGTTCGATCCTCAGCACCACATACAAACAGAGATGTTGTGTCCGCCGAAAACTAAAAAATAAATATTAAAAATTCTCTCTCGTTCTCTCTCTCTCTCTCTCTCTCTCTCTCTCTCTCTCTCCCCCTCCCTCCATCCCTCACTCTCTAAAAAAAATAAAATATCTTAAAAGAAATATTTACAGAGAAACTGCCTCTTCTTCCCATTCCCTGAAAGCACTCTTCCAAGGGACTTAGAAAGGTGAGAGTTGGGGCTACCTTTGAGAGAATTGTTCATTCCTTGTTTCTCTCAATTCAATTGAGAGAATTGTTCATTCCTTGTTTCCATGATGTGAGAAATTGAAGGGAGATGGAGAGAAAAAGAGGATTGATCTCTTGAGAGCATTTGACTCTGGAAGAAGTCTAGAGTTGTTTTGAACAGTATCAAACCCAAAGAACCAAGGTTCTTGGGTCTCAAAGTGAGTAAAAGACTTTTTTTTATTGTCTAAGAGTAACCAAGAATTATGGGACCTATTTGTAGTTGTACAAAGGAACTAAAATTTTAAAGATATCTTTTTCTGTCGACCTCTCTAAATTTTCAATCATTGAAGTAAGGAATGAATAATTATCTCAAAAGCAGCCACCAGCTCCCACCTTTTTAAGTCCTACAGAAGAGCACTAACTTCTTGGGGTTGGGGAAGGAGAGGTGGTTTCTCAGTAAATATTTCTCTTCCTTCAGTGACCTCAGTGCAGTGTGAGGACCTGAATTCCAGTGAACCCAAGGCCTCAGGCATTCTAGGCAAGCACCTGCCACTGAGCTACATCCTCAGTCTTTTTTATATTTTAAGGCGGGATTTTCCTGTTACACAGTCTGCCCTTGAACTTCCAATCCTCCTGCCTCAGTCTCCTGCCTCAGCCTGGGATTACAAGCATGCACCATGGTGCCTGGAAGACTCCTGCTTTACATATAAACATAGGTTTTACCCTTATTAGTGAGTAAAGTATCTGGAACACGGTAGCTGATCTTCCTTCCTACCTTATGCTACTCAACAAGTATATTGAATCATCAAGACCACAAATGAATAGGAACATGGACAGGACATACTGGGTTCTTCCTAAGGGTGGTTCGTGTTTGAACTCCATGACACTTGGGATGTTTAGCCTTTGCAGAAGAAGGCTGGGGTAGCCAACAATCATCATATACCAAAAAACAAACAACCTTCCCCCACACACACATACACAAACAAGTCCCTAAAATGATTTCAAAAAACAATGAGTGTGGTCAAAGCAAGAGAATAGGGCACAGTGGGGAGGAAACTGACAGAGGGAAGGAGCTATCTGAGTGGGTAATCTTACAGCCAAGATATACATGGTGAAAAGAAAGCGCCCACCTGAAGAGCTAGGAGGAAGTGCCCCAGGAAAAAAGAAGCTCCCTCCAGCATGGTCAACACACATCAGAAAGAGCAAGTGGAAGTGGCCAGGTCAGAGAGCACAATGTTCAGGAATTCAGAGGAAGATTCCTGAGAAGCAGCCAGGGGTCAGATCTCCTAGGATCTAAGGCCACGGTAAGGACTTTGGATCACACTAGAGATAACTAGAGGTTTTAAGGAAGAGATTTGCCTTCACTTCATCTGCATTGTGAGAGTAATGTCAAAGTAGAAGGTAGATTCATGGGAAAGGTGTGGGCATAGACCATGAGAGTGATGATGGTGGTCTGGTACGTTAAGAACTAGTCTCAGGAAGAACCTCCAAGCCTTAATGACTGGAATCCAGGAAGATCACCTTGCAGCAAACACTTTGGATGTAATTATTTGAGAACAGTGAGATGGGAGATCACTTGTTGCACTTTAAATGCACCTGCAAGCTTCCTTGTGAGAGAAACAGAGGGAGATTTGATGTAGAAGAGAAAGAGCAATGTGATCACAGATGCAGAGATTGAAGTGACATTGCCAAAAGCCAGGGAATGCTGGCCATGACCAGCAGCTGGAAGAGACAAGGAATGAATTCTCTCCTAGAGCCCTTACAGGCATGTGGTCCTACTGACAACCATACACACACACACACACACACATACACACAACTTATTGGTTTATGGTCAGATGTCCCAGAAGATACACTCAAGCCTGATTCCCAGGTTTTAGTTTTGAGCAGTTACATAGATGATGGCACCATTTACTGAGAACTGATAAGGGAGAGGGGAATGGGCTGTGAATCATTATCTTTCTTAGTCAGAGAAAATATAAGCTAGCATATGTTCAGGCTGACTTTGCACCAAACACTGTCCTCAACTCTTTACCTGAATGAACTGAATTAACCACGGAAAACCAAGCAGGCAGTTAGAAAGACTTTCAAGTCTGGGTTTGAAAGAAGGTTGGGCTGGAATATCAATCTGGATGCCATCAGTGTACTTAAAGCTAGGGGACCTAATGAGATCACTCCCCTGCCCCCCCCCAAAAAAAAAACATGTGGAGAAGAGATACTTGGTCCCACAGAAGATGGAAAAGGGTCCAACAAGGGGAAGGAGGAGGCCAATGAGTGTTGCCGAAACTCAGTCCTTCTCCCCAGTGCCAATTCAATAATGAAGGCATGGTTTTGAGAAAAAAGAAAAAAAGTTTTATAACTTTGCTAGCAAAGGAGAAACACAGGGGTCTCCAATCCCAAAGGCTGTGATTCTGCCCATCAGCAGGAACCAGGGGGGTTTTATAGAGGTAATTCAAAGGCTGCATTGCATATTTTCTCTCTTGGAGTTGTAATTCACCTTTTAATTTGGGAGATAGGTATTTCTGAGATCTTCTGGTTCTATTCCCAAAGTCTGTATTACTTCCTTCCTATGGTGGGTGTGTGCTCAAGGACAGACAAATCTTCCTAAAGTGGGGAAGAAGGGCTGGGGATGTAGGTCAGTAGCAGAGTGCTTGCCTAGCATGTGGGATGCACGGTGGTGCAGGCCTGTAATCCCAGCGTCTGGAGAGGCTGAGGCAGGAGTTTTGTGAGTTCAAAACCAGCCTCAGCAAAGGTGAGGCATCAAGCATCTCAGTGAGACTCTGTCTCTAAATAAAATACAAAATAGGGCTGGGGATGTGGCTCAGTGGTTGAGTGCCCCTGAGTTCAATTCCCGGTACCAATCAATCAATTAATCAATCAATAAAATAGATTAGAAAGATTTCCTCTAAGATTTTTTAGGGAGCAGCAGGGAGAGGAAGAGAAAGAAATATACTCATTTTAAAAATAAGTTGCAGTGGCAGAGCAGCAAGGGTTATATTCAAAGTATAAAGTGGACCACTGCTACAGGAGGAGGAAGGAAACCCGGGATCAGGTGAAATCGCAGAGCTTGGGAAAGCGTGAAGGCATCCATTGGGAAGAAGAGGAGCGAGATCTACCCATGATAGTCGCTTCCGTCTAGGGCCGAGAGGCAGGCCAAACTGACCACTGCATTTAGCTACATGGCCATCAAACAATCTTGAGAGGAGCCATTGCAGGGCTTGGAGAGAACAGCTCCAGCGGAGCCATTTGAGGAGAATGAAGAGAGAATGAGCCTGCAGATCATCTAGGCAACTCTTTGGAAGAATTCTGAAGCTACCAGAGGTTAGAGGCTGTGCCTGGCGGGGTCTCGTGGTCCAGAGGAGGCGCTAATCTTCTGCAGCACGTGTTTTCTCGCTGGTGGCAACTGAGAAGGGAGCTCGAGGGTGCTAAGAAGGCAAAGAGGCTAGAGAGGCCACGTGTCTGTCCTGACCGGAGGGCCAGGGTCTGTGCACAGGAGGGCTTGATCCTGGCCATCCCTCGTTCCCCTAAGCCTCTGGCGGTCCCAAGCAGCCACTCGCCACCCAGGCAGCTCACCACACACAGTGCGCTGCTCGCGTAGGATCACCGCTGCCGGCAGGGGGCGCGCAGGCGCCCAGTGCGCAGGCGCATCGCGGCCTCCCTCCCGCACCCCCGCCCCTCCCGGGACCAGCCGCAGTTCCGGGCAAAGCCGACGCTGAGGGGACGGTTTCTTAAAAGAGAAACGGCGGGGCGCGCGCGAGGTGGGCCCCTGTGTTCCCGCCTCGCTCCCGGCCTGCGCGCGAGGCCAGGGCGCAGGCGCAGTCGTGAGGGCGGGTGGGGGCGCACAGGTAAGACCCGTGCGGGAGGGCAGCGGCGGGGCCCTGGCCACCTGGAGCTGCCAGCGGGGTTGGCCAGCCTCTCGCTCTGTGAGCGTCGAGTGCGGCGGCCCGAGGCGGGGTGGGGGCACCGTGCGGCCCACCCCCGACCTGGCCGAGAAGAGCGCCCAGTTGCACGCCAGAACACCATCTCTGCCCCCCGGAAAGCAGCAAGGCCGGTGAAGTGCCCGCGCCCCCGCCTCAGCTGAAGTCTCCCCTTCAAGTCTCCCGCCCCTTCCCGCAGCTGGCGTTTGACACCTGAGTGGGCCGGAGGGCACGGGCCATTGTCCTGACTTTCATCCTGGCCCTGACCTGCACCCAGCGACACCCCCCACAGCGCCCCGCGCGCACACCCTCTTGTGCAGGGCGGTTCGGCTCCAGTGGCGGCTGCTGCTGTTGAAATATTTGAGTTCTGCCCGAGGCCCCGATGAGGACAGATGAGCCAGAGGGTGGTGGAGCAGGGGGCTCTGCCCCCAGGACCCGCCGGCAAGGAGCATCCCCTTCCCCTCCAGGCCCGGGACCCATGGCTTCCCCAGCAGCGGACGCGTCCTGCCTGCGGCGGGAGAAGCGGAGGCAGCTGGACGCGCGCCGCAGCAAGTACCGCATCCGCCTGGGCGGCCACATGGAGCAATGGTGCCTCCTCAAGGAGCGGCTGGGCTTCTCCCTGCACTCACAGCTCGCCAAGTTCCTGCTGGACCGGTCAGGGACGCGGGGGCTGGGGGTGGGGGTGTCGGGAGGGGGCGGGGCGGGCCTCAGGCAGCAAGCCTCTTGTCCCCTCGGGGGTCAGGTGCAGCAACTGCTCCTTTCCACCTTCAGGTTTCTCACTTTAGCAGGATGACCTGAGTGATTTGTGGCCTCCCAGGGTCAGTCCAACCTCCGTGGCCCCAGCGAAGAGGGGTCATTAGGCCTGGCCCCTTAAGTGTGTGGCCCAGAGCTGAGGGTGATGGTCACCCGGGCTCTGATCTGACCTGCAGCTTCTCCCTCGGCAGGTACACTTCTGGCTGTGTCCTCTGTGCAGGTAGGTAGAGGATGGCAGAGGAGGAGCCAGAGGGTACAGGAGCAAAGGGATTGGTGGTACCCAGAAGACAATGGTACCCAGAGATAGTTGGCTGGAAGCCCTGAATGAAGTGGGAAAGGGGATGGAGTTGGGGAGTTAGTCTTTTGGGCACCTCTGGGAAGGGGAGCAACGTCTCAGGGCTTCGGGTCTGCGCTCTGAAGGATGAAAAACTGCACTGGGGCTTCTGGGGACAGCATTGTCTAAATGTGGTTTTCTGGGTGAGAGGAGGGGCCTCCTAGCCCAACATGACTGCTCCCCCAACCCCTCCAGGTCCAGAGCCTTTGCCCCCCAAGGGTCTGCAGTATCTGGTGCTCTTGTCCCATGTCCACAGTCGGGAATGCAGCTTAGTGCCTGGTCTTCGGGGACCTGGGGGCCAAGATGGGGGGCTGGTGTGGGAGTGCTCAGCCGGCCACACCTTCTCCTGGGAACCTTCCTTGAGCCCTACACCTCCAGAGGTGCCCAAGCAGACCTCTCTTCCACGGACTAGCCCAAGGAGCTGGAGCCCCGAGGCCAGGAGTGGGCAGGAGCCTGCAGGTAGGCCAGGGGAAAGAGGCTGTGGAATGGGTGAGATCCTAGGTGCCATCCCCAGTACCATAGAAAGAAAAAAAAAAAAAAAAGAGTTGTGGAAAATATGAAGGAAAAAGGCTTTCAGGTCTCTGGGACAATCTTGTTTCTTTTCTTCTTTCCTTCCTTTTTTTTTTCTTTTAGTAGTGGGGATTGAATCCAGAGGTCCTCTGGGATAGGATAGGCCTCCACAGATGGTGGCTAAGCTACATTCCCAGAACTGGCCTTGAACTTGCAACCCTCCTGCCTTACCCTTCCCAGCAGTTGGTACTACTGGTGGGCACTGCCACGTTTGGCTCAGAACCTTGTTTCTAAAAACAGTCCTTTTATGGCAACAAGGAAATAGTCCTCACATACATTGTTAGATATGGTGTATTGTCATTAGTGGAAAATAAAAAAAAATAAGGGTAAAAAGGGCAGGCACAGTGGTGCACACCTGTAATCCCAGTGACTGGGGAGGCTGAGGCAGGAAGATGCCAAGTTCAAGGCCAACATTGGCAACTTAGTGAGATCTTATCTCAAAAGAAATTGAAGCTAAGGGCTGAGGATATAGTTCAGTGGTTGAGGGCCACTGGATTCAATCACCAGTACTGTAAATAAATAAATAAAACAAAATCTATCTATCTGTATGTAATTGTATAAAATGTCTCTGGAAGGACACATAGGAAACTGGCTGCCTTGGGGAGAGCCAGGTGACTAGGGGGCAGTACTGGAAAGAAGGTTCTCACTGTGTGCTTCTGGGTTGCTTGCTTGCTTCATTTATTTATTTGTTTGTTTATTTTTGGTCCATGTGAATAGAACTTCTGAACCAAAATGCATCTTTCCACTCCAGTAGGCTCTTGGCCCTGCCCCCTTCCTAGAGGGCCTCCCCACATCTGTCCTCATTCCTTGAGCCCTGTGTTCCCTCCTTTGACCCTGCCTGTGTCAACAGGTTTGGAGTCTGCGCATGAGAGGACTCAAGAAGCCAGGGTGCCCAGGTGAGGATGGGAGGGAGGAGGGACAGGATGGGCCCGCACAGATGGTGGTGTGTGGGAGCAGGACCTCAGGCTTGCTTTCCTTGGCCTGCAGGGGGGCAGGACCCCCACCGGAGGCCTTCGTGCCCTCAGGAGAGGAAGAGGAAGACGGTGAGGAGGATGAAGAGGAGATGCTCATCGATGCCAGCCCATGGACCTACAGCTCCTCCCCAGATGAGCAAGTTGGGATGGAGGGAGGTGCTGGGTGGAGCACAAGAGGCACAAGGTGCAGACTCGAGGGGTGGGCTTGCTGCTGGGGAGGGCAGGTGAGCCTTGGCAAAGGCAGAGTAACTGGAAGATGGGCTCCAGGGGAGACTGTGGGCTAAAGGCAGGTATGAATGGAGACCCTGGGGAGGAACAGGGTTATTCCAAGTTTGAGATTTTCAGTTTAGGGTTAGGGTTGTCAGGGCTGGCTGAGTGCCCAGAAAGGTAATGCCCTTCTCTTCGTCTCCCTTCAGCAGTGAGCCAGATGACACCAGACCACCCCTTTCCCCTGTCACCTCCACACCCAAGGAGGGAGAGACAGCACCAGCCCCTGCAGCTCTCCCTGTTCCTGTTGCTACTCCACCCTCATCCACACACACCGAGGGTGCCAGAGACCCTCTGCCATCAGATGCTGGGGTGCAGCTGGAGCTCAGTGGGACCCCTTCAGTGGCTCAGCAGACAGAGCCACTGGCCAGGTAACATGACAGCCAACAGAGAGGGCAAGGGTACCCTATGACTGGCCCTCCCTCAAGACCCTCCACTCCCTCTTTGCTGCCCTTAGCCCTACAAGCCAGTCCTCATCTGCCCTGACACCGGACTGGGATGAGGACACTGCACAGATTGGGCCCAAAAGAATTAGGTAGGACTTGGAGGAAATGGTGCTCTGGACAGGGTCAAGAGGAGGGGAGTGGAGGAGAGCAGGCGGGAGTCATTCTGCTCCCCCTTTCCTTTCCTAGGAAAGCTGCCAAAAGAGAGCTGATGTCTTGTGATTTCCCTGGCTGTGGAAGGATCTTCTCCAACCGGCAGTATCTGAATGTGAGGGACCCAGTTGGGGCCCCGTGTGTGCTGGGCTGAGGAGGACTTCAGGGTGTGGTCAGGGGCATGCAAGCCCTTAGGTTTTATCCCCAGCACTGCAAAAAAGAAATAAAGGGAGGGAGTGGAAGGAAAAAGAAGGAAAATAAAAGAAGTCTAGGTGTAGGGGGAATTGGAAGCCAGAAGGAAGAAGGTTGTTGTGAACAGGCAGTTTCCTACATTAACCTTTAAATGAGATAGATAACCAGTAGATGTGGAAAACCAAGCCACGGGCACAGAGCTCCTGGCCACTCCTGCTTGCTTTGTGGGTCCTCAGAGGACTACGCAGTGCCTGTTTGTCAGTCACTGGTAGGTGCTGGTGCAGTTCTAGGTGCTTGACGTAAGTTCTTGATCCTCACAGACTTGCTGTGGAGTAGGTGGTGATATTACTGCCAGTTTGCAATTAGGGAAACCAAGACTCCCTGAGTCAGCATTGCCAAGGCTTCTCTGCTAGAGCGAGGTGGTGCTGGGGCTGTCTCCACACCCCTGCTGGCCTGCATGGGTAGACTAGAAGGACTGCACTTAATCTTAGCCAAAAGGCCGAGAAGTGATGACTAGAAGGACTGGGCAGCGGTCCTGTCCCCAGCCTCTCTGCCCAGGAAGTTTGAGGAACAGTGGGGAAGAGGACCAGGACCCACAGTTGGCCAGAGCCCATGGCAGAGTGGGTCCTGACTGTGGTGTGAGTGGGAGGGACCAGAGAATGTCTCTACAGGAGGCCACATGGGAGTCATGGGGGTGCCTGAGTGCCAGTAGCTGAGCAGAGCCCTGGCAGGGGCAGACACCTGAGCTGGCTGTGTGGGAGGCCGAGGCTGCTCCAGAGGTTGAACTGTGGCTAAACAGGATGGTGGTGCAAGGGACAGCTAGGGTGGGAATTAGCTTAGATGACAGGAAGTACTCATGATGGGGCATGGAGATCTGAGAGCCCATCTCCTGGGCATGGGGTGTAGCCCTGTGGCAAGCGCTTGCCTGGCATATGTCAGGTCCTGGGTTTGGTCCCCAGCACTGCCAGAGGGAGGGTCAGAGAGAACCCCTTACCCCTAACAGTACTCTCCACTGGGAGGCTGTGGTGTGTGTGTTTCTAAGCAGGTTAGAAGGGAACCACATATTCATATGACATTAGTGTGCATCAGTGGCTGAGCTGTCAGGTGGTCGAGGGTGTGTTGTCCATTAGTACTGACATGGAAGAGGACAGCCACATTCACCTAGACCACTCTCCCCTCCAACAGTGAGTCCGTGGTAGGTGGGCAGGAGTGTCACAGGGCCACTGTGGGGCCTTTGTACAGGGCCACTGTGGGGCATCGCGCTGAAGAGATGACCAAGTGGGAGTCCATGTCAGGATAGGGTGGGTGGGGCACAGCAGAGTGGTCGGTGTGGGATGGATGTGGTGCTGCTCCTGGTGCAGGCGAGGATAGGTGGCGTGACCAGGCCGTGACAGGGCTGTGGTGCGGGAGGTGGCAGAGGTGCCTGCCTGCCCCTCAGCTCGGTCCGTCTCCCTGAGGAAGGCAGTCATCCTCCTGGCCCTCCTCCCCTGCCACCCCTTCTTCCTCAGCACCACAAGAAGTACCAGCACATTCACCAGAAGTCCTTCTGCTGCCCGGAGCCCGCCTGTGGGAAGTCCTTCAACTTTAAGAAGCACCTGAAGGAGCACGTGAAGCTGCACAGTGGTGAGTGCTGGGGTCCACTTTGTCTGTCTCTGCCCCCCCCCCCCACAGTGTCCCTTCTCTTCCCTCTGTGTCCTTTCCTGTCCCTTGTGTCCTTCCCCTTACCCTGTGGTCTTCACCTCCCCCTGGGCCTCCATCTTCACCTGCCCCACGCTTTCACCTTCTCCCCGTGTCCTTCACCTTCTCCCCGTGTCCTTCACCTTCTCCCCGTGTCCTTCACCTTCTCCCTCTGGGGCCTCCCCTCCCCCGGGGGACACCCTCTCTCTCTGTGAACCTGCTCTTCCCTCTGAGGGTGGCTCTAGGGTCGCCCTGCATCCCTGTGAATTTAGCCCTGGTCTGCTTGGACTGTGCCCGGGGCTGGGTACAGCAGTGCACAGCAGGAAGCCCTCAGCCCACAAGCACCCACTTAGTGATGAAGAATGACAAGAAGTGATGCTAGGGCAGCGAGGAGGCTTGCTGCAGTAGGAAGTGAAGCCTGAGCGAGCCCTGAGTGAAGACAGTGTGGAGACCCTCCTCAGTCCTAGGACCAAGCCTGGGGGAGGCGTTTGGTCTCACCTGTGGTGCTCTCGGGGAGGGAGGAGGCCAGGAGGTTAGGGAGGAAGCTCACAGGAGTGGTGGCCTTGGAGACCACCACAGGACAATGTGGCTCCTGCCTCCAGTGAGACAAGACAAAGGCCAGGTCACAATGCTGTGTGGAAAGTAGGAGGACCACAGATGCGTAGAGCATGGTGCTTAGCTGCCAGGCAACTATGGAGATGGGCAGATGGTGATGGTGGCCTGGACCAGCCGTGGCAGTTGGTGAGCAGTGGCTTGAGGCTGGTGTATGTGTGATGGCCAGAAGGCTGCTGGGGCAGGATGAAACCGCCTCGTGCGGGACAGGCAGCAGGAGTCAGGGGTGGCTCGGAGGACACCAGAAGAGCAACAGGCAGAAGGTTTCCCCACTTTAAGGGAGAAGTGTCCTGTGAAGGAAAATACAGCCCAGGAGATGCGAAGTCACAGCAGACACATCAGGCCAATCTGTCTTGAGTGTTGGGAGCCCCCAAGGAGGGTCCCCACAGAGAGGTGGGAGAGGGGTCCTGAGCATGGTGCACCTGGAACCCTGTCTTATGGGTGGCCTTGGAGGAGGTGGAGGAGGGTCCCACAGAGACGTGGGGAGAGTGGGCCTGAGTGTGGCACACCTGTCCTGGGCCTGCCAGGTGGGCGCAGGGGAAAGCAAAGGTAGGATCTGAGGGTTGGGGGACAGCGAGTGCTCCAGGGAGGAGGGTTCCCAGCTGTGGCTGTGGGAAGCTGTCCTTGACCGCAGGAAAGTGTTCTGGCAGGAGGGGTTGAGCTGGGCGTCAGGCCGTGGGTTGAGGCAGCTGTGGGAGCAGCGCAATCATCTGGAGAGCTTGGGGTTTGCTGCAAACATGGGGAGAGGATCTAGACCTATGGGCCTGTGGGCTCAGGGCAGAGGTGGGAGTAAGCCCACAGAGCAGGCCTTGCTGACACCTGCCAGTGGGCCCTTGAGTGAGACGGGCCTTGAGGGCTGTGGCCAAGGGTTGGCATGCAGGTCAGCTGATGGCCCGGTGGGCAGAGGGTGGGGTCCACTCTGCTGGTTTCTTCCTTCTTGGTGGCTTGGAAAACAGGAGCAGTGCTGAGCAAGTATGGAGAGCCCAGGTGTTGGAGGCGAGTGGATGGGCAGAGTGTCCTCTGGATTCTAGAGAGTGGGAGAGTGGACAGGCCAGGGGACTGCAGATGGATGGTGAGCCCCTGAAGCTGCAGCTGTAGATGAAGAGGCTACAGGAAGGACAATGCCCCTACACATGTACAGGCCTAGAGTAGGTCCAGTTTGTCTGTCCTGTGTTGGGTGGGAGTGAGGAGTGGGCAGATTGGTGGTATCAGTGAAGGACACCTAAGATGGCCATGAAAACAGAGCTGAGGGGAGAGGGACGTTGACAAGGTAGTGGGGCCAATGGACCAGAGGCCTGGATGTCAGGAGATTATCATAGCAGCACACGGTAGGAGGCCCTGGCTGGAGCCAGGATGCTTGAAGTTGTGAGTTCTGAGGCTGCACAGTGCTGGAGTGTGACCTGAGGAAGACAGGTGGTGAGGACAGTGACTCTGGAAAGAGGGCCTGGAGTCAGAGCTGTGTGGATGGATGGGAGTGACAAGGGAGGAGTCTGCAGGTCTGTAGAGGATAGAGGGAAGAGGTCTGTGGGTACCAGGAGAAGCAGGCCCAGCACTTTCCCTGCAGGCCTGAGGCTGTGGGAGAACCACAGCAGTCCCTGTGAGCTGCTGGAGATGCAGTAACCATGGGCAACAAGCAGGTGTGGCTGGAACTAGCAGGGAGCAGACTCTGGAAGGAGAGGACAGTCATTGCCAGCAGTCTAGGTGTTCCGCAGGGCCCTGAGCAGGGCTGGACCTGTGGTCTGCAGGCCTGCATGGGGAGATGATTCCAGATGCCAGAAAGTATCCTTGGGGCTTGGACTATAGTCCTGCTTCCTGCCCCTGACTCCAGGTATCCTGTGGCTACTGCCTGGTGTTCCTGTCCACAGGGACACAACTCTCCATTCCTCTGGCAAAGACCAGCTCCAGGGCCCATGATGAGGTCGCTGCAACTCCACAGGGAGATCAGGGTTTGGGTGGAGAGGGGTGTGACAGTGATGGAGCCTTCCAGCTGGATGTTCCATTCTGTGCCCCTCCCCACTCAGTCGTCCCACCTCTCCATGTAAAGGAAGTCCAGACAGGCTCCATGATTTGGGCACCTCCTTAGAACAAAACCAGGACTGACCCCTAGGACTGCTGCATTCTGTGGGGGATAATGGGCAGGGTGGGCCATGGAGGGGCCGTGGGCCTGGGGACAGACGCTGGAGTGTGCCTCGTGTGCCCACAGACACCCGGGACTATATCTGTGAGTTCTGCGCCCGATCTTTCCGCACCAGCAGCAACCTCGTCATTCACAGACGCATCCACACTGGAGAGAAGCCCCTGCAGTGAGTGCCTGAGTGCTGAGGGTCCCAGGCGGGGCCCAGCAGGAAGCCCTGGGGGAGTCAAGGCAGACTGAAGTCAAGGCTTACCCCTTCCCTCCTCTGTCCCTGGCTGCAGGTGTGAGATCTGTGGGTTCACCTGTCGCCAGAAGGCCTCCCTGAATTGGCACCGGCGCAAGCATGCAGAGACAGTGGCAGCTTGGCGCTTCCCTTGCGAGTTCTGCGGCAAGCGCTTTGAGAGGCCAGACAGCGTGGCTGCTCACTGCAGCAAAAGTCACCCAGCTCTGCGCCCAGCCCCACAGGAACGACCCGGCCCACTGGAGCCCTGTTGCAGCGGCTCTGCTCCCGAACCTCTGGGGTCCGCTGAAGGCTCTGGTGCTCCTTCAGCAGTGACCTTTCCCCCTCAGCTGGCTTCAGGGAGCCAGTCCCCAGGGACTGCACAGGACTAAAAGCCAGGAGGATAACTGCAGATATCTGGTCCCAGAAACTAGGCCACAGGGATTGCAGGTGGAGGCACGGGCCCTGAAGAGCCAGGCTACTTTAGTCTTCCTGAAGGAAAGAATAAACGAGTATTTTACATGAGCACTTTGGGCAGAGCACGTTTTAGTACCTGAGATGTAGGAATGCTGGATTTCTTTGAGAGCTGGATGTGAGAGTGTGCCAGCATGCAGGACAGGTACAGGCCCCTCTCTCTCTCTGCAGGCTCTCACCTGCCCTCACCCTGATTTCCAGATTCACTAGGCACTTTGGTAGTCTTTCCTGGGGAGTATAAACCTACTCTCATCCTTGAAGAGAGAGGCTGTAACAGTATGGAGAGAGGGTCCCCACAGAGTGGTGGGCGAAGCTAGACCAGGATGAGGCACGTCATCTAGGTCCTTGGAAAGGGGTGAGACCTTGGAACTATAGAAGGACCTGGCTCTTGGATACTCCCAAAGTCTGTGAAGACAGCAACCTCAGATTTGACAAAGAGATTCTTGGCATCCAAAATCCAAACAACTCTTTTATTTCACCAGCCGTAAGCAAAAAGTCACAATTCCAGGAGTCTCCGTCCTGCTTCCACCTGTGAACCTGTTACCCCATGGTTCCAAGTTTGATTTGGAAATAATATTCTGATACTCCACTTGGCAGTACTTGGCTTTGTGAACCCACATGGTCTTATCCCACATGCCAGGGCAAAATGTCCCCCACCTGGCCGGAAAACATTGTCCTAATAGGAACCCGAATTTGCTCTGGGGACAGAAGATAGTCATGCTGAGGGTCCTGCCTGGTCTCATCTGGGTGGGCTACCATTCCCAGGGAGCAAGCAGCTCCTGGCATGGAGATGCTGGTTCAATGGATTGGGCTCCCATCTCCATCTTTCAAGCAGAGGGAGAAAGCAGTTTAACAGGTACAACTAACTGGCAAGAAGACCACAGAGCTGGCAAGATGCAACTAGCCAAATCTGTGACTTTAGTACCTAGAGAGGCACAGCAGCAAAAGTATTGGGGAAAGAGGCCGAGGAAATGCACACTGGCGTAAGGAGAGGGGAGAAGACAGCACACAGGAGGGAAAACAGGAAAAATACCAGAACACAGGCCAGCAACAGGACACAGCTCTGGGACCCCTTGCACACTGCGGGAGGGCTGTCCTGATGCCCTCCCCCATACCTGGAGAGGTTGGGAGATTCAAGGACTGAGGATGGGGAAAGAGCCTCTGGGGAAGTCAGTGCAGAGGTAAGGCAATCCTGGTAAACAAAGGGCACCAACAGAAGTGCAAAAGGCCAAACCTGTGAGTCCTCTTTTGTCCCTTGGCACTGTAAGGGTGCTAGCCCAGGCCCCTTCAAGAAGCCTCCCAGCAAGTCACCCTCATCAGGGACATAAGACCCCTGGCTTTTCCTGTCCAGTTGGCCCCATAAGGACCAGGTCCGTGCCTCCTGCAGCCTCACGGACAGCAGCACGGGCACGTGTATGGGCCCGCTGATGCTGTGACAGTGACCGGCTGTGGCTAAAGCATTTGCCACACTCAACACATTTCGCTGGCCGCTCGCCCAGGTGTGTCTTTCGGTGCAGTGCAAGCTTGGAGGCGACGCTGAAGGCCTTGCCACACTCAGGGCACGTGTGTGGCTTATGGCCTGCGTGATTGCGCAGGTGCACGTTGAGGTTGGACACACACGTGAATCGCTTGCCACACAGCTCGCAGCCATATGGCTTTTCCCCAGTGTGCGTACGGCGGTGTTTGGTGAGGTCTGAACGATCGCTGAAGCCGCGGCCACACTCGGGACATGGGAAGGGCCTCTCCCCGGTGTGGATGCGCTGATGTACCACCAGGTCATATCGCTGCCCAAAGCCTTTACCACAAGTGGTGCACGCGTGTGGCCGCTCGCCACGGTGGCTGCGCCGGTGGCGTAGGAGCGTGGAACTCTCGCTGAAGCAGCGTCCACAGTCACTGCAAGCATAGGGCTTCTCGCCCGTGTGTGTACGCTGGTGGCGCACTAACGTGGCACTCTCCAGGAAGCCTTTGCCACACTCTGGGCACTTGAAAGGCTTCTCACCTGAGTGCGTCTGGAGGTGGCGCGTTAGTGTGGAACTCTTGCCGAAAGTCTTGCCACATACAGTGCACTGGTGCACGTCTGTAGGACGGGGTTGTGGGGGCATGTGGGCTCCAGGGCTGGGAACAGTGTGGACGCGTGCATGACTGCGCAGCCCTGCACTGCTGCGGAAGGCCCGAGGGCACTGTGTACAGCGGTGGGGCGCGCCAGGGGTGGGGACAGCCGGGTTGCCAGCTGGGTGAGCCCGCGCCTGGTGGAAACGCAGCGCGCTCTGCCGGAAAGCACGTGCACACAGTGGGCAGCGGCAAGGCTGTTCAGGTGGGTGTCTGCGGCTGCGATGCAGCAACAGCGCAGGTAGGTGAGGGAAGCGGCCACCGCACAGGCGGCATGGGTAGGCGCGGCTGCGCCTATGGTGGGCACCCAGGTGCAGGTCGAGTCGGCCGCTATGGCGGAAGCTCTGGCCACACTCGCTGCAAATGTAGAGAGTCTGGCCTGCGTGGGTCCGCCTATGAGCACGCAGGTCGGCAGCCTGTGCGCAGCGCTCGCCACACTCCAGGCAGCGGAAACAGGTATCACCACCATGGGCACGCTCATGCCGCAGCAGCACTGTGCTGTAGCGGAAGCTCTTTCCACACTCGCTGCATGCGTAGGGTCTGCCCACTGCCACACTGCCTGAAGCCGCCAACATGGTGAGGGGCGGCCTGCAGGGAAATGTGCTCCTTGCTCCAAAGGTAAGTTTTGGTTTTCCTAAGAGGGAAGAGGGGGAGGCCTCAAAACTGTGTCTTCTAGAGGTCTTTCTGTCACCTGTAGGCGCTGCTTCTATTCCACGGGCAAAATGAGGCCAGCTTCACCCTGCTGCTAAACTCTGCGGGGAGAAAGTCATGTGAGTCCAGCAGAGCTGCCAAACCCCGCTGTCGGAAGGGAGAGGTTAACGTGAACGCTTCCTGTGACAGGTTGTCTTATCCTGGGGATCCCATCAATATGAAGGGAGTGTTCTTGTACTACCTGGAAGGGAGGAGGGATGGATCACATCTGTCCTGGAGAGCAGAAAGGTGTGGATTCAAAGGGGAGTTTAGTTCAGTGCGGAAACCCGGCACCCTCAACACTTCTGGAGAGGGAAGAAATGGGAATGCCTGGCCTGTTCAGTGGCAGGCTGGGTGTCCGGCCTAGGGAAGCATTAGGCAATGACAAGGAGGGGTGGAGTATTGAGAACCCAGGCCAGACCATACCAAGGAGTCCTCCGCCACCACTTCCTGAGCATGGACAGTGAACCACCCAAGCCTGGAAGGACAAAGAGGCCACATACTAAAGCACAAGGGCATGCCACAGAAGCAGCAATAGCCTGGCAAAGGGCACACATCTGATGTTATGGAAGGGGCTCAACCTGGGCAAGCGAAGGTATCTGAGAAACCCCCCAAAATTGTTCCTTAGCTTTGGACATCACCTATAAACAACTACTTAGTACATGCCCAGTTGAGAAAGCAAGTCAGGATCCAGGAGAGAGGCAAAAAGGAAGAATGGAAAATTCACAAAACAGTTATTACAAGTTAGTGATGTTATCCAAGAAGTGCATTCCACATTTTCAGGCAGGGCTGGGGGAAAGAACAGGACCTCTTTCTAATTCTCAGCTATACAAGTTTGTCAACACTCTGCACACTTTCCTTACTGCTGCAACCCTAGGGATCTGAGAACATGCAGAGTGAGAAATCTCCAATAGTATTCCTAACAGGTTCTCTGGCATCTCTCTAAGCAGGATCAGCCTTTTTTTAAAAAAATGCACACAACTTCACAAACCCTCCAGCTAAGAATGTAAATGTGGCTTCACCTCCTGATCTGGTCCATGAGTCTATCACCAGCCCAATGAGTGGGGACATTGAAGATTATGTATAACCCTTAGTTTAGCTTTTTTTTTTTTTTTTTTTTTGGTACCAGGAACTGAGCCCAGGGTGCTTAACTACTGAGCCACATCCCCCAACCTTTTTTATTTTTTGAGACAGCATATCTCTAAGTTGCTTAGGGCCTGCTAAATTGCTGAGGCTGGCTTTGAACCTGTGATCCTCCTGCCTCAGCCTCCCAAGCTGCTATAATTACAGGCGTGTACCACCGCACCTGGCCTAGGGAAGATATTTTTAATGGATATTTTCAAATATAAAAAACTAGGAAGAATGAATCTTGAACCACTCAGTGACCAATTTCCATTCTTGTTTCATCTGTGACACCACTCCATGTTTTATTTTTGTTTTGGTTTTGGTCAAGAAATCCAAGCCATCTTAGTAAAAAAATAACGATTTTCAAACAAAATCTGAAAGCAGGGTTTGAGCACCACTGCAGACCAATGAGCAGAATGAAAGGATCCTCCAGGGAACCTTTCAACCCAGTCACCCAGGTTTAACTCAGTCACTCAGGTTTTACCAACTAGTCACCCAGGTTTCACCCAGTCAACCAGGCTGCTGATTCACTGAACATCAGTTCAAAAGAATGCTTGCCTGCATGGGAGTGAAATTCCTAGAGACCCAGTGGCTGGACCCAAATGCCAAAAGGGCAATGCCCATGGCCTGGTGAGTGGCCTGCCTCCCTGGGGGTCTCCAGGAGGCATGGCACTCCCAGCCCATAGTTTTGGAGCCCACACTCTCTGAGGCCACTGCTTCCAGGACACATGTCCAACAAAAGGCAAATGCACCAACACAAACACACACCTAAACAGTGGCTAAACAAAAATACCGTTTCCTCTTGTCATTGACATGGGATATGAGAGGTTCCACTGTAGAGTGCAGGTTCGGTGCTCCGGTACCAGAGTGGGCCTTCAGGTCTCTCTTCCAAACCTCACCCCATTGTGGTGCTCATCACAGAAACAAAGGGACCTGTGCATGGGGCAGAAACCTGGAAGAAAAATATAAAGTACCATTGTGTCCAAAAAGAACAAGCAGTAGACCACTCTCACTATGACCCCCTGGGTACGCGTAAGTTTTAAAGTTGCTATGCTGCTAAATTCTTTTACTTTGGAAAAAAGATGAAGTACAGGCAAGCTTGGGAAAAGGCAAGGGGGTGACTGTGGTCTGTGAATTCCTAACTGTTGAATACTGACAATATTTCAGTGTTTCATGCATTTAATACTTATAAATTCTCCACATATAACTAATAAAAATAGGTACTAAGAAGTAAAATAAGCTAATAGAAAAATTAACATTCATGGTAGATTTAAGATAAACTTCTGAGTTTCATATATCATTTATTTATTTTTGTCTTAATAGACAGGTATTTCGTGCCCTAACTAATTGATCAGAAATTACATTTCAAGGGCATTAGAATTAATCCTCCATTTAGGCCCGTCGTGGTGGCGCATGCCTATAATCCCGGCAGCTTGGGAGACTGAGACAGGAGGACAGCAAGTTCAAAGCCAGCCTCAGCAAAAGTGAGGTGCTAAGCAACTCAGTAAGACCATGTCTCTAAATAAAATATAAAATAGGACTGGGGATATGGCTCAGTGGTCAAATGCCCCTGAGTTCAATCCCTGGCACCCCCTGCCAAAAAAAAAAAAAAAAAAAAGAAGAAGAAGAATTAATCAGCAATTAGGACATTAATTAACAATTCTT